AGAATGCAAGAACCAAAGGATTAGAGAGTTTTCTAAGAGATTGTGTCGCCTGGGACACTAGCATTTTTAAACAGAGAATGGGCTTCCTCAGGCTCTGACATCCAAACAGAGTTGTATATAGGAGAAGGGAATCTGGTAGAATGAATGATAATCATGATATGAAAGGAAAATTAATGAGAATGCTACAAGTAACAATACATTTAACATGTTTTAAGACAAATAAGGACAGTCGATATGATTGAAGAAAAGAAAGAAATGGTACACAAATAAGGTAAGGAGAAATTGGTCAGCAATTAAGAGTACTTGCTATTCTTACAGAGCACCCATGTTCATCTCCCAGTACCCACTACTAACAACTGTCTGTAACTCCAGTATACATGCAGGCAAAACATTCATACACATAAAACAAAATAAATGAATAGTTTTATAAAGACAGAAATGGTACAGAAGAGAGTATGGGAGGAAGGGGGAACAGTATGAGAAGACGTATTATTCAGGGTCTTGCCAGTTTAAAAAAGGGAGTTTGTGTATGAGTGACGAGATAAGACTGAAGACACTTGAAACAATGATGTGATGTGTTGTTGTTGTGTGTGTGTATGTGTGTGCACATATGCACAAACTTGCATGTTGTACAAAGAAGCACCCTTTAGATGATTTAGACTGGGAAATGGGTAGCACTATTACGATAAAATTATGACCTCATTTAGTATAATTATTTTTCAGTTCCATCCATTTATCCAAAATTTCCAATTTCATTTCTCTTTACAGGTGATTAATATTTCATTGTGTGTATGTACATTTTCCTTTCCCATTCATCAGTTGATGGAAAAATGTGGGGGTCCTTTTTGTCTGTGCGGTCCACTAGCCATCAGTCCACAGAGACAAAAGGGCAGAAGCAGCAACAGAAACCCTTATATGGCCTGGGAACATGGCAGAGACAGCCCTCTAGGAGATGGCTCAACTTTATTCCAAAGTATCAGGAATATATTGGATTGGGGAGCCTGGGGAAAAACCCTAGTTTTCATTAAGTGCCACACTCCTAACACAAAGCTTCATATGTGGAGTAGGGTCCTATAGCAGAACACTTAGCACAAATCTTCTAGCGGGGATCTGGGCCAAAGGTCAAGCTAAAGATAAATCAGGCATCTGGCTTAGAGACAGCTTTTACATAAGGTCAGTCCTCTGGGCCCAGGGACATTCTCCAGATAAGGGCTGGTAGAGAGCAGGGAATTTCACTGGGGAGGGAGGGAGGCACCATGTCACCAAGCTTTTGCAAAAAGCTGCCAGGCCAAGATAGACTGCAATCTCTGACCAGCCACCAAGGTCTTCCAATAGATGTACAGGCTGAGTCTATTTCCTAGCAATTGTGACTGAAGCAACAAAATGTGCAACTTTAATAAAGTCAAAACAAACAAAACCAACACACAATAAAAGGCTATGTACTATTATACCACCAGTGAGTTACCAAAAAAGGAAAAAAAAATTACTTATTAAGTCCCACAAAAGTAATAATAAAAGAACATTTAACCAGGGAGATCAACTATCTGGAAAGTGGAAAACATTGATGGAAATATTAAAGAAGATGCGGGGCAGTGGTGGCGCAGGCCTTTAATCCCAGCACTTGGAAGGCAGAGGCAGGCAAATCTCTGTGAGGTCAAGGCCAGCCTGGGCTACAGAACGAGTTCCAGGACAGGCACCAAAGCTACACAGAGAAACCCTGTCTCGAAAAACCAAAAAAAAAAAAAAAAAAAAAAGAATTAAAGAAGAATTGGAAAAATAGTTCATGTTTGCTGATTGATGTATTTAATATTATTAAAATACTGCTCGATGTACTCTTTAAATTCAACACGATTACACCAATACATTAATTAGTGATATTTTTAACAAAAAGTGAAGAAATTATAAAATGCACATGAAACCTTCTAGATCCAAATCTTCAAACATCTTTGAGAAAGCAAAACAAATTTGGAAGTATCAATATTTAAGTTTTCAGACACTCTGACAAATATGTGGCAATTAAAACTATAAGTCCTGAGAACAATTCACAAAGCATTTTAGTAGAGATCCAAGAAAAAAATTCATGTCTATAGGGCAACTCATTTCTGAAAAGAGCACAAATAATACACAATAAGAATTGTCTCTACAATAAATGATGTTTTTAAAAAATGCATATACAGAGGAAAATAATTATATTGAATCTTACTCTTATAATTAACTAATAAATTAAAGATTTAAATGTAAGACCTAAAATGATAAAGCTGATGGAAGAAAATTTAGACAATATTTAAAGGGTCCACAAGGGACCAAAATCAGTGGCCTCTGAATGAAAAACAAATACTCTACAACAGAGCTGCATCCCCAGCCCATGAAAATGTTTTTGACATGGGTCTTGGCAATGATTTTTTTTTTGAAGACAATACCAATAGTACAGAAACTGATTCTAAAATAACCAAGTGAGGCTAGGACAAACTATAGAGAAGGATATAATGAAATTATTAGATGATAAATTATGAGTAAATGTATTAGCAAACCATATGAGATTAATATCCCAAATAGCTAAGGAACTCACAAAACTAAAGAAAAATCAAGCAATATTTCTATCAGAAAGGAGCCAAAGCTAAAGAGACACTTTTGCCCAAAATAATAGAAATAGTAACCAAGTACATGGAACTTGCTAAAGAGCATTCATTGCCAGAAAATATCCACAGTGATATATGTTCTGTGGCAACTTCTGAGTGTTAGCAAATAAGCAAAACAAACAAACAAACAAACAAAAAAACAGAACCATTGCTCACAGTTATTATAGAAAATTGATACAGTTATTATAGAAAATTGTATGGTGTTTCCTTAAAATTAGAGATACCACTCTCATAGGACCAGGTTATACCACTTCTGACTGTAGAAGGACTCCACAAAAAAATGTGGAAATCATATAAGCATATGCTGCTAGATTAATCAATACTTATCACACTATTTTCATAGATGTATATACAAAGATACTTATACTGTATATATGAAGATAGTGTGATAATTATAAGTATGTACTTACGTATGCTTCACTATTGACCTTTAAAGAATACAGTCTGGTTTTTTTTTATATCAACATGGTTCAACCTCGAGAAAACATGATATGTGAAATAAGCCAGACACAGAAGGAAAAATATCACAAGAACTCACTTACATGTGAAATTTGAAAAAAAATCTAATTCATAGAAACAAATGCTTACCAAGAGCAGAAATAGAGGGAACAAAGATGCATTTAACAGATGGACAAATTCTAGAGATCTAATATGAAGCATAAGTACTTTAGTTAATGCAGCATTTTATGTCTGAAAGTCACTTATAGAATCAATCCAATGTTTCTCAGTCAGCACAACATAGGATCACCTCATGAGTGGATGGATATGTTAATAAACTTTAGTAATCATTTTTGTTACATATGTGTGCTTTGTATAAACTATGCATGTTATCATGATGTATACTACAAATAGTCATGCAATTCTCATTTTATAATAAAGTCCAAAAGTAGAACTGTGGATACATGGAACACAATGCACAAAATCCTTTACACAGGAAAGAGTACAATACTTTTTATAAAGGGGGCTATTGTCACTGGACCAAAAAGGGAGGAGAAGAAAGAGTTAATCTAGAACATGAAATAGAATCCAAGGACACAGCTAAAAACATGTTTCAGGTGTTTATGCTATTTGCAAGCAGTAAGGGAGATAAGACTACAAAGTAATTTCTGAGTAGAATAATTGTTACTGATTAATCAGGCATTTTAGAATTATTTTGTGGAATAATGTGTTACTTTAGAGAAACTTTGGTAAACTCAAATGAACTCTATTTGTCTTCTTGCTTAGGATTAAATTTCAGTATTTCCAATATTTGTTTATTAAGCCTAATAAAAATAAACTACAGATTATTAATAGTGGACAGTGTTATAATATACAATGATTGCTTCTGATTTATAGATAGATAGATAGATCAGATATGTATATATTATCAGAATATATATATAAAATCAGAATATATATTATATAGATCAGAATACATATTGCTTCTGTATATATATATATATATATATATATATATATATATAAACAGTGGTAGGGTAGCTAAAAATATGCTTATGTGCATACACAGAAATACACAGCCCTTAGAGAAACTGATTATAAATGGTCATAGTGGCTGAAATTATATCTGCCGAATGAAATGTTTTAATTGTTTCATAATTAATTTCCTGTGATATAAATCTGGACTATATTAGTTCCCCAAGAGAAAGGAATACTTAGAAGTTTTGTGATGAAAAAAATCACTTTTATAAAGACAACTGTCATTTCATTTTTAAAATTGTGGTTAATTATTAGTAGTTTCTAAATACAATGTTCATTCTTCTGAAATTGTAATTATTTACTTGCTGGGAAAGCTGAGGAGAAAATCAGTGAATCTCTTCCTACTCTAATGAGAGAGCACTTGTCTGGAGTCAAAATACCAAGTGCACGTTTTTACCCCTTGTGAGAAATACAGAGAGTACCAGATTTCAAATGCCTTCATGTGCAAAATAGCCAATATGTTCTTGAAAAATCCTCTCGTTTCATTTTGCTCCCAGAAATTTACTAGGCATGTTTCATTTGAAAAAGTACACGTTGTATTTTATAATAAAACAGAGGCATAGAACTGAGCACTCAACCCCTTGATTTCAAAAGTAGAATCGAAAGAGACTTTTATCCTTAAAGGGCTGGGAAAAATAAGTTAAAAATCAGCCCAAATTTCAGTATAAATAATATAATGCGTGGCAAGGAACTCTGCTCTTGGGATAATTAGGAAAAGAATCTAATCCAAAGGCTTTGTATCTGTACGGGAGCAAGCAGAAACTGAAGGAGATTCGCAGATGCACTGTTTTTTAGGCAGGAAGAATGCTCGTTAAATGCAGAACGCTGCGCCGGCTCATGTGTTTGCTCCGAGGTGGAGGTTTTGTTCGACTGACGTATCAGATAGTCAGAGTGGTTACCACACCGACGTTGTAGCAGCTGCATAATAAATGACTGAGAGAATCATGTTAGGCATGCCCACCTAACCTAACTTGAATCATGCGAAAGGGGAGCTGTTGGAATTCAAATAGACTTTCTGGTTCCCAGCAGTCGGCAGTAATAGAATGCTTTCAGGAAGATGACAGAATCAGGAGAAAGATGCTGTTTTGCGCTATCTTGATTTGTTACAGCAGCCAACTTATTGGCATGATGGAGTGACAGGAAAAACAGCTGGCATGGAAGGTAGGATTATTAAAGCTATTACATCATTATGAATACAATTAGAAGCTGACCATGACAAAGCATATGTTTGAGAAAGCAGCTGTTGGCAGCTGGGGTTTGTTGCTGAGCTCTTCAAACTCTGCAAACAGTGTTGCTTTTACAGAATGGATTTTAAAATTACCTTGTGCTGCGTTAGATTTGGGGTGGGGGGTGCTTGCCTCCAACCTCACGGAAACTGTTCTGGGATAGAATTCAGTGTCAGAAGATTTTAGAATAAAGTATTTTTTTTCAGAAGTCTAGCATTCTCCAGGTAGCTGATGACAGGGGAGGGGGAAATCTACCCTAGCTCAGTTAGATGTAATTTGCTTGCAAGGACTGATTGATATATTGGCATATTCAGACACTGAGAGAAATGAGAATGTACACAGTGTTTGGAGAGGTTGGAATTGCTGCACTTGCTTTCTATTTTATAAGGAGTTTGGCTGTCAGTCATCTCTCCTCATCAATTTCTAGCTTTTGACATTAATTCAGTCATTCTGCATTATATGAAGAAAATATATCAATATCTCCTGCAGGCTTTTTCAACAACTCCAGCATCTGTTTCAGCTATTGAACTGTATGCACGTTTTGCCAAGTTGATGTCGACCCAGCTGGTCTATCATTTCTCGCTTGATTACTGCTCTTAATTTCTCTGTATCAGCTTCTTTCAGATAGAGCTTTGAAAGCTGTTAATGGAAAATGACAGAAAATGATAAATTATTGAAAACTGGAGCGCGTATTTATTTATTTGGGACCTTAATGAGTTTTGCCTTACATTCTTTCCTGCCTGCGTGCAATTACTAAAGCCCTCTTTCTGTTTGGCAATATTTCTTTCAATCAGTAGATTACAAAGTACTTTTAAACAAACAGAACATCAGCCTGGATTGGATTTGGCTCAAAAAATAAAGTTTTGAGGAAAAAGAGAGCAATTTAAGCTTTTAGTAGAAACTATGCCTCGTTTCTGTATACAATCTTCATATGCTATCATGGGGATCTATCAGTGGGTGTATATTGGACCGAATATACTGAAATAAATTTTATCACCACTAGGGTAACAAGAAAATAAAACATTTGAAGCTGTTTTTTATCAAGTGATTACTTCCAGCAGATGTCAAATAATATAGAAATAGATTTTCCCGAATCGAAAAAGCATGATTTTCCACTAAGCTCTCTAGCCCAGCTTCTTAGTAGTCCATGTAGCTAAATTACCAAAGTTAATAGACTATTATACATGAATATCTCATATGACCTTTTAGTATACACAGTGCTGCTAATAGGTGGAAGGTCTTTTTTCTAGTAATTGTAATGTCCCAGCCAGACTGGCTGAGGAACGCCACTGGCTGTTATGTAACTTTTTTTTTTTCTGAATGTTAGTTCATGTTTTTCAATTACATATTCCTCTTAGAAAGAGTGAGTTAAAAAGACATACATTTAAATATCAGTGAATCAATTGCGAACTGGCAGGCTAATTAGACTTGTTTGTATTCACTCAATTTAATTACTAGCATACGTTTGGAAAAATAAGCAAGAATTTGAAGAGTACTTTTTAACCTTGAAATATACTGAATGGGGTCAGCTGTGTCATTCATAATCCATATGTATAGCAGGAATGAAAATAGTTTTAAAGATGTGCAATTAGCAGCAATGTACTTTGATAATATGGTTTAAAAAGTCTGATTATTTCTTTGTAATGCATTTCAGTGCTACACATTCTGTTCCAGTACTTGGTTAATATTTGAGATGCTGAAAGACTAACAGAATTCTAGACAGAATCAGGGTTGATTTGAGGTGGATGCCAAAGCCTCAACTGTATCTAACTATTGTTTAAAATATTTCCTTCCCCTGTTGTGCTCATTTCTGAAACTCTTTATAGTCATTTTAAGTGAAAGTTGGTGGGGATTTGGCACTCTTTCTAGATTCTTTAGTATGATTCTTCTTTTGTGAATTTTCTCCTATGAGAAATATGTGAGCTTCCTGATTGCCTCATACTGCACTGCTGTTGCCATAGTTACTTGCAAAGGGGGGTGGTGGTCTTTGAATGGAGATAATGTAATTTAAATCAGCCACCGGACTCCACAAACTGTGAATTTTTTGCTTGCTAGTTTGTAGTTTAGGCTTGCTTCCTTTGTGACTAGGAAGCACCTTCTATTTGATTCCACTGATGAATGGAAAGGACAGACACTAGGTGGCACCAGCTGTTGATTATTAATGAAATCTTAAAGGCTATGGGCCACACACCTGAAGAGCAGGCAATATACCCTCTCTGATAAACGCATCTTAAGAGTTAGAGATGCTCGCCGATCTTTCTGGCTCTGAAATACAGTCAGCATGCAAAGCGAGACCATGTGCAGTCTCCAAATCCCAACTGCTTAATTCTGTAGCTTCTGGAGTGATACAGAGGGGAAAATGAGATTTAAAAAAATACATTAAGAACGGAGAGTCTGAAAGGAAGAAGGGACCAAACGAAATAGGCTATAAATGTTTACATACATTTCCACAGTCTCAAATAGACGGATTTTTATAAGGGGCTGTTGATTTTCCCGACTTTTGTACAAACACACATTGTATTTTTTTCCCCTACAGCATTTGTGTTAGAAAAGAATTATTTGTTCCTTTAAGTGAAAACCTCATGGAGCACCACTATTTATTTTTCAATTCAAAAAATGCCCCTTTGGTTCCCGCTCAGTGAGGATACTGTGCAGTGAAATCCCCCACTTCTGATACAGTTGCTGCCTTTCTGGTGTGCTCTACTTCATCCAGAAATATGAACTAGAGGAAACACTATCAGCTAGAAAACATCCTTGAAAGGGTTTTTTTCCCATCCTGTTATTCTCTCATTCTTATGCCATTCACCTTTTAAGAATGAAGAGGCAAAAAGAAACAGACCACTTAAGCATGTACAAACACACACACACACACACACACACACACACACACACACACACACGAGTGAGAGGCACACACATGTGCACACAACCTTAAATTTCATTATCCTCTTGGATAATTTTTCTTACTTTTTTTTTAAAAAATAAAAGAAGAGTATTTTTAATTTGTCCAGGAGATAGCAAGCAAAGATTTTAAAAATGAAACTACATAAATAAAGTAGGAGGATGAAATAATTGCTTGTAACTAGAAAAAAGATCCTGAAAAATAAGCAATATTTTCCCTCACTAGAGTTAACTAGGTGTTTCTGAAACAGATATGGTGGTCTAGGAGAAAGAACAGCCGGTACTATTCTTCAATGTTCTGTTCTCTCGGCTTGGTAAAGTTACTGCTTGTTCTGTGAAATATTAATATGCAGAACCTAAGAAAGTAGAAATAGATAACTTACAGTAAAGGAGAACAAATAAATGCACTGAATTTGAACACAGCTAAAGGATATGGCCACCTAAAGAACCACTAAAGCCAAAAATCCGGGCTTTGTTTGACTTTGATTTTGTTTGATTTAGTATTTTGTAGCAGATTCACTCTAACTGGCCCAGGCTGGGCTCAAACTTGGAGTGCACTGCCTTCACCTCCTGATTACCTGTCATATTTGGCCCCTCAAGTACAAATTAAATAGGAATAAACAAAAAATCCTACTATAAAATGCAAAATGTCAGAATTTGAGAGGGTTAAAACTTAATGATAACTTGAGCTGGGTGGTGGTGCACATGCCTTTAATCCCAGCACTTGGGGGGCAAAGGCAGGCGGATCCCTGTGAGTTTGAGGCCAGCCTAGGCTACAGAGTGAGATCCAAGACAGGCTCCAAAACTACACAGAGAAACCCTGGCTCGAGAAAAAAAAAAAAAGAAGAAGAAGGAAAAGAAAAAGAAAAAAGAAAAAAAAACAAACAAAAAAATCCTTAATGATAACTCATTTATTAAACAGCCATAATCTTACATGGCTATAAAATACAATCCTAAAATGGAATGTTGAGTCTGTATCCTCAAAAAGTAAACAAAATAATTGTATCACAGTACTTAGAAAGATGAATCAGAAATATTGTTATAAGTTTGAGACCAGTATAGGCTATACTGTGAGTTCAAGACTGGCCTGAGTCCCAGTATGAAAACGTGTCTTAAAAAGAAAAGCAAAATTGGGCACAAATTGTACATTTGTGAATAATTTTCATTGTTTTAGAAAAGCATGTATGGTGAAAATTTTCTAGAAACTCTGAATAGACATTGGTTATACTTAGAAAACTAAAAGGTTGAAGAATGCTGGAAGGAACAGACAAAAATAAACTTCTACCAGTAGGTGATCTACAATGACTACAAGAGAGTTTAGGCTCATTTGCAGATCTCTGGTTAAAAAAAAAAAAGATGGAGAGAAAACTGCTTTTTAGTAATGGTGTAAGCAAAAATTTGACTACTTTTGAGAGACTGAACTTCTTCACATGTTCCTTACTAAGAGCAAAGGGAAATTAAAGATGTCTGAAGCTGGGGTTAGAGAGATAGCTCAGCAGATTAGAGCTCTTGCAGAAGACCAGGTTTCAGTTCCTAGAGCCCACATGGTAGATTACAACTATCTGTAACTCCAATTTAAAGGGATCTGATGCCCTTTTCTAAACTATGCGGGTTCCTGAATGCACATGCCACACAAATGCATTTAGATATATATAATAATATGCATATATATATATCGACATATATGCATAAAATACAGTGTATTATTTTAAAGTTGCCAGATATCATTTTCAATCTGTGACTGATCATTACATGAGAGAGCAAGAACAAAACATAACTACTTTGGGGCATAATTTGAGTGTCTTTGTTGCTCTAATTGAACCACCCATAATGGGGAATACATCCCACAAATTTCCTTTTAGCTGGCCAACTAAGATTGTTTTCCATATTTCTAAATTATTTACTTAAAGAATATTTTTGACATATAAAATCTCAACTTGGGTGCCTGTGAACTTTTAGTGGAGATTAATCACACACATTTGTTTTTTACAGAAACCATGGTGGCTTTCAATTACTAATAGCAATTAACTGGTG